AAAGTAGGAAGAACCTATACAACTTTAGAAGATACATGATCGGAAGAGAACTTCCACCATGTAGAAATATATATATATACGCTATAAACATGCATTGCCATGACTAGAGAATTACCTAAACCAACATCAGAATTAAACAAATAGAAAAAACACTTACATATATACACAAACATTGCCAGCATAGTCCTAGAATGGAAAGATATTCTTCCCCCATGTTTCTATCCGACCTGCATTTGGCTGCAGGCCAACCATGGATGAAAAGAGACTAACCAAATTGGGACTAGTCGGGGAATAGACTCCGTGATCCGTGGGTCTTATCCACGTGGAAACAAACAATGCAAACAGTATTCATCTACAACATACCGAGTGATTCCCGAAGTCACCTCAAATGACCTCAAGAAGCTTCCAGTTCATACCTGATAGCTGAAGGTTTAACAAAATATTTTGATCCCTAAATTAATAAATCTAAGATGTAAAATAAACCACCATGAACCCAACCCAGCTTCCAACCACCCCGAGTGCGCAATAACTGCTCATGAACATCAATGGCAGGAACTCGAGCCGGTCCCATCCGAATATCAATTGATGGCCCAGGGAGCAGTAGATAATCAAAGGAATAGAAACGGTCAAGTAAAGCAGCGAAAGCCGGTCGAATAGGAAAATTCGGGGCCGCTCGGGGACAGGGGCAACTCGGTCGAAGACGAAGAGGAACAGCACCAACCACATGACTGTATAAATAGTCTTGATGGGGAACTCAGCTGCTGTAAATAGTAGAGGAAAGAGCGAGACATGACCTGCAACTGCCAAAGGTCGGAAGGCGCTGAAGTAGCGACGATCCTTGAGGGCGATGAGACTGAATGGGATGATAATGAGGAGGACGGCTTTCTCATGCACATGCCAGCCGAAGAGGAATGATGCGTATCCACAGAGGGTAATCGCACCGACAAAGGTATCCCAGCAACCTGGGTTGAACCATACCTTGACGAGAGGAATCTAAATAATTGTGAGAGAAGGCCAAAGACACAGAGCGAGGAACACATACCAGCTGGAACAAGAAGGTCAATACGAAGGTGTATTCCTTTGTGATCTCCGGAAGGACAGCAAAAGAGGTGTCTCCCACCAGGCCTCGGGTGACGCTGTTCAAAGCGTCGGGGTTCACGGGAAGCCCTAGCCGTGGAGCAACTGAAAAGATTATTAGATAAGCTCATATGTCGTGTCCGTTGAAAGAGTTAGATGCTACTTACGGGAGATCAATGCTCGATCAGCGAAGGAGTACATCGCCCAGATATTTGGCGCCCAGTACGCGTGACACAGCCCTCTTGAAAAAGGGAACAACCTATCCTTGATCTGCAACAATTGCCCCCATTGCGCAAATGGCCCAAAGGCAATTGCGAAAATGCCCACCACGCACAATCCAAGTTTGAAAATATTGCCGAATCGAGGCCGGAAAACGGATTTGAGACTGAGGCAATAGGTGCGCAGTAGATAGACGAAGTAGGCGAGAGCGAGGTAGAGGTATATATGCTTCATGCATAGCAGCGCCGCGAACAGGATACCGCTGTAGAGAAGAGTCGATTGTTTGCGAGCCAGAACAATTGATAGGATCAAGATTCCATACATGAAGCCATTGTATTGGAAGTGGATATGATCAATGATGAGGAGACCGGGGGATAGCAGGATGGAAAGACTGGCCACATGCGCAGCCTGCTTGTTCGGCAAAGGAGTGGACTTGACGAATCTATTGAGCAGCAGTTAGAAGACCATTGCACCAACAGAAAAACAAGATCGAGTGCCTACCGACTAAGCGCATAGACAAGAACCAGCTCTGTTAAAATGACAGTTGACCTTTGAAAGTAAACAGTCTGCCAGGAGTCATAGCCAAGGTTCTTCACGACCAACATGGCAGAGTCCGCGTATGCAGCAACCTGTGACATTAGCCACTCGAAGGCTGCGAAGAACGGTGGGTAATCGAGTGTCCATTCCGAGGATTTCTAAATCAGACCAAGTCAACACCGACCACACTTGCCCAATATTCAGGTGTCTGGTCAACATACTTCATAGTACCATTCTTGAATTGGGAGAGAATGGGTGATGGCGAGCCAATTGCGATGGACCTCAAAATCAGTCGATTTGCTGCAACACAAAGAAAGCATGTTAGCAAAGCTCATCTAGTAACTCCAATATCCCGCCGCAAGATCCTATTGACCGCCCTCCACAAATTTTTGCAGTGATTGTTCGACATCTTTCCACCTATCTTCCGGTATTTTCTTTTGCTGCAGCGAAACAAGCGGGACTCACTATGCGGGGAAGAGTAGCACCTTAAAGGCAGCTGCAACGATGGCGCATTGTGCCAATGAAGGGTATAAGTCAGCCATTGAAGCTCCTTTGCATGGTGCGACGATGCTGAAAGCCGAGAAGACACAAGACGTAAGAATGCGCAAGTCGGCGGAGTGAGGAGCTTCCTCCGCATGTTATTTGAGAACACGTGACCAGATGCGGAGATCGGAGGTCAAATCAGGAGCGAAACACCTGGGCAGAAGGACAGATAGTCAATACAACAAATACAACGCCAAAAGGAATTACACTCTCCGTATGGACTTCACAGACGTCGGAATCCGCCACACGATCCTCAATAGTGTACAGCTCCATCACTTCATCGATTTCTCGCCATCGGCCGCTGTTATCGCAAAAGAGGCCCGTCTCTGCATTATTGCCATTGTTGTCGGTTGGGTCACCACAAGTGTTGTATCCAGCCTTTGCAATCGGAAGTGTGATCGTGACACAAGAAATAGCAATCGCTGATAGCTGCTCCACAAAACTTCCGCCAATCCATATCACCACCAAGCTTCACCATTCATCAGAATACACAACATGATGAGAACATTAGCTTCCTTGGCATTGCTTGCCGTAGGGGCTACAGCCCAGATTATTGAGAGTTCAAGCTTCGGCGTTGGTCCAAAGTTAGTATAATGGCCGTCCTCAGTCTTTGGGTCATGGTTATCTGACCTCAGACTAGATTATCCCCAAACCGAGACTCTATTCCTGGATGGGCAATTGGAGGACAGGGACATGAACCGTCTATGGTGAGTAGGTCTACGGGAACTGTGGCCGAACTGATCTAATAGCTATATAGTTATCAGACAAACTCATCTTAACGCCGCCGTACCCTGGAAACACACGGGGATCAGCTTGGGCACAAAGTCCGTAAGTGAACTTTACACTGTGATATTGAAGACCAGATAATAACATGGGTATAGGGTCTCTCAGTCCGAATGGTCAGCAGAGTTCCAATTCCGAGCGAGCGGACCAGAACGAGCAGGTGGAATCCTGCAGTTATGGTATACCAAGGACGGTCAGTCCCGTATTGGTACCTCGAGCATCTATACTGTCGGCAAATTCGACGGCTTTGCTCTGGTTATTGATACGCATGGTGGAAGAGTGCGTATTTGATCCCGTCGCGTATTGTCGCGTATTAACCTCTTCTATAGGGCGGCAGTGTCCGTGGATTTTTGAATGACGGTACCGTCGATTACAAAAGCCATAACAGCCCGGACAACTTAGCCTTTGGTCACTGCGACTACTCCTACCGTAACCTAGGTCGTCCATCAATTGTTAAGCTCAAACATACCAATTCCATCTTTGAGGTCACCATCGACGACAAGCTTTGCTTTTCAACCAACAAGGTATGTATACACTATATCCAGACAGCATGCCACAGCCATATTGAACATACTAACCTTCACAGGTCACTCTGCCTGCTGGAAACACCTTCGGCATCACAGCAGCCACACCCGAAAACCCAGACTCATTCGAGATCTTCAAGTTCATCCTCCAGTCTGCTACAAGCCAAGGCTCGAAGATTCCCTCCAACCAAGGTAGCGCCGCCCAGCAGCCAATTGCTAACCAAATTCCTGATCAGCCCGCTCAACCCATAACCAACTCCGGCACCGAAGTCACAATGAACGGCTTGGCTGCCCAGCTCGCCGACCTCAGCGGTCGCATGCAGCTATCCGGCAAGGCCACCAACCTCATTCTCCAGGAAATCAAGAACCTGGCCCAGAAGGCCGATGAGCGCCATGCAGAGCTTGTCCAGAAGTCCCTGGCCCAGGACCGTCAGCTCGCCCAGTTCGACTCCCGACTCTCGCGCGTCGAGCTGGCCCTCCAGACCGTCCAGAGTGAGCTGAAGACCGTCGCTATGCAGAGCAAGGACTACGGTGGACGCTTCAACCAGCTTCATGAGACGCTGCGCTCATCCCACCTCAGCCTGAGTGAGAACCTGCAGGGTCACCTTCTGAGTGGTAAGTCTCTGTCTTTGTTTAGATGATTCATCCGTTCAATCTGCTAATCGCTTTTATTTCATTTTATAGTCATTACCGCCTCCAGCCCACGCATGGGCTTCTTCATCTTCTTGCTGATCGCGTTCCAGGTGGTCCTCGTGATCTCCTACGTTGTCTACAAGCGTCGCCGGGCCAACATGCCCAAGAAGTTCCTTTAAGCGCCCCCTTTCTGTCCCTCCCTTCCCCGTGTCCCCGCCCCCCATCCCATGTGAAGCTGTGTTGTCCGAGGTTATTATGTGATGGGGGTGAGGGGATAATCATAATATTCAGCAGTGTGTCCTGCCCGGGAGCACCGGGATCTATTATTCGGGAAGTTATGTATAGAGTACGAATCTCATTACGTTTATGAAAATGATCCGAGAGTAATTACATTTACAAGTAAGAGAAAAGTGAAATGACAAATATTCATTTGGCCTTTGGCCCATGCTATCGTACACGTTTCTCCGAGCCACCCGACCACGCAAATTTTTTTTGAAGAAAAAAAGCAAGATAGAAAAACATAGAAACCGTGGTCGGGCGGCCCGGAGAAACAGATTGAAGAAATTGACGATCGCCTCCCTGGCGATCGTGAAAACGAAAAAAAAAAAATTACACAAATCCGTAAAAATTCAAAACGCCGGGTCCCATGCGCGTGTTGAATTAAGAGCCCCCCCTGTGGGGGGCTCACTTGGACTTGGTGTATTGGCGCTTTTGCGCCCGTTCTCCCCCAGATCCCTGGTCATCGGCGCGGGATCGCTTGCGGTTGAACACAGGGATCCGGGGGAGAAGCTCGGAGTCGGAATGGTGCGACTCCGAGGAGCCAGCCTCGGGAGAGCCGGCAGCATGAGAGGAACCCAAGGTGGATTCCTCGTCAATGCGAGAGAGAGGCTTCTTAGCAAAGGGCGAGGTAAGCCCGGCAGCCTCGGCGATGTGACCTTCGCCAATAGTGGGAGCAGAAACGGGAGCAGGAACAGGAGCAGAAACAGAAACAGAAGCAGGGGCAGGAGCAGGAGCAGGCTGTCCTGAAGCCATGCCAAGGAGAGCAAGAGCAGCGTCAAAGTCTTCAGCGGAAGCAGGAGCGCTGGCGATCATGTTGTTAACAGCGTCAGAAACATTCTGGGTGAGATCTGCGGGAGGACCATTTTGTGCGATGTTGGTGGTGATCCCGGCAGATTCAGCACGGTTGAGGTACTCATTGGTGAGTTGCTTGGTCAACTCCAAGCACTTTTTCTCAACAGCTTCGGCATATTTGATTTCACGTTCATGGTGATCTTCTTTGACAGCAGTGATAAAGTTCAAGACCACATCACCTCCAAGGAAGCGGGCTCTTTTCTCTCTCCAGTCCTCGTCAAACAAACTCTGATTTGGGTCGTCAGGAAGCATGATGTCACAATCAATGGACGCCATGTTCTTGGGTCGGCGCACACGACGAACACGCTCGTTGCCATTAAGCTCCTTGGTGGCAATCATATCGTCAGGCGTAACATGATTAGGACACATCCACCCGACCTTTGGGTTAGGGGGATGTGCGCGGGGAGGATTAAGACAATCCAGATGAAAGCGACAGGGACAGTAGTCGCAAGTAATAATAGGACGTGTACCTTGGGATGTAAAACCACACTTGGAGCAGCGGATGCAGTCTCCCTTGTTGTCGTATTCTCGGAGATACATGGAATTCGCGTAAATGGTAGGGCCGTCCTGCTTGGGTGCTTTAGTCAGCCGCGGCAGGTGGGGCGCGGACTTGTAGTAGCGTTGATGCTTCGGGTTTCGGGCATAGTCGCCATCAAACACAATTCCTTCATCAACTCCTTGGAAATGTTCTTTGATATCCTGTGGGAGTTGGAACTCGGTCTTCTTGTAATGTTTCGAGTGTGCAATCAAAGTCGTGAAACTGTTGCGAATGGTACACTTGGGGCAATGCCACTCTCCCTGTGGAGGATTCTTGGGATCCAAGGGAGGATCCAAGCATTCGAAATGGTAAGAATTAATGCATGTGTCACAGCAGAGTAAATCGCCACCTTTTCCACATTGGTGGCAATCGTCACTGTTATCGGGAGGGGGCTCACTGTAAGATGTCATGTTAGCACTAGAACTAGCAAAATCATAAGAAATCACGTACATAGAATTCGGCATTTGGCGTGGTCCGTGGCTGCCAGACCAGTCGTTGAATCGGACCGAGTAAGCAGAATTCGAGAGTGAAGAAAGACTCGAGACTGTGGTATCAACAGAGAGCGACCGTGCACGCTGTGGGATGTCAGGGGCTTTGGCCTTTGCTTTCTGACGTCGCGAGACGGGCTTGCCGGTCTTGCGAGCGATAAGTGAAGCGGGTGGTGAATAGACAGATGGAGCTTCGGGTTCCGGACCTTTGACAAGAGGTAGATCGAGGATAGAACCTGTGGCAGGAAGGGAACGCGAACGATTGACCGCGTCGATGTCTCCATCGATACCGGCGTTGATATTGTCCATATTGTATGGGTGTTGGATGGCATCTGGTGGACCCATACCAATTGTAGAGCGAATTGCACTGTACTGAACAACTGTTTCCGAGCAAGATTCAGCCTGGAGACGAGCACGTACAGCCCGCATCTTTTCATCGTGATCAGGATCCATCTCCCACATGCGCTTACGCTTGTAAGCGTTCTCATTGACTCGGCAGGGCTTCTTGGGCCTCTTGAGTGGAGCGGTATTCGATTTGCCGCTCAGGAAGTTTTCCTCAACCCGAGGACCACTTGTGTCGCGATAAATGTCAGAGACCTTGAAGCTGGGCTCTGCATTAACAGAATCTGCAGGTGGCACGCTTGATCCGCTGCAGGAGGGAAGTTCGGCTGCGTTAGTTGTAGCGCGAACGTATTTCTGATACCACTGCTTGGCCTCTGGTATGTCATTCTCAATGGCGGACATGAGGGCAAGCGCCACTTGCTCGTTTCGCCCTTCGCCTTTGGCGACGTTGGCGATCAGAGAGAGTCGGAATTCATCATCCACGGCATTGAACCAGAAGTAAAGCAGGGACTGGGCAGAATCAGGGTGCCCGTTATTCATTGAGTTGACTATGGCGAACTTGATGACAGCCCGGAGTTTGAGCATGTCATATTTTTCTGAGGGGCGGAAAGGAAGTGTCTTCAGCACGTCGAGGTACTCGTTGGTTTCATCGTCATCGTCCGCGCTTTGGGGGGTAGGAGTGGCCGCAGCGGCCGGGGTGGTAGAGGAGTGAATGGCTTCATCGGCCAGGCTTTCGACTGCAGTCGAGTTTGAAGGAAGTGCTGCTTCTTCGGCGATCTCAGCATGACCATTATCGGCCATCAGGTACTCAACCCCGCTGACGGGGGAAAGGCGCTCAGCTTCATGGCGCGGGACGGTGGTCGGCACGGTCGCGACGCGTTGCGCCTGTTCAGACGGAGGAGCAACGCCAGCAGCTCTGTACTCCGCGGTCGATGGGTATTCCCCGATCGGTCTCATTGTCCGATATGGGGTGGTGGGGGGCTTCGAAGTGCCCGGGGGCTTCTTCTGAAGCTTCCGTCGTTTCGCGGGTTGAGAAGAGCCCTGGCGGCGTTCGGACTGAGTGGACCCCGTAGGGGCAGGCGGAAGGGGTCTAGTAGGGTTAGTGCCACGCGCTCCATGCCCTAACTTGTCGGGGTCAACGTACTGGGTAGCAGCTTCATTCTGCTTCTCTTTGGATGCCTTTTCGGCTTCGGCTATTCGAAATAATCAGTGTTTGTTCTCATCTTGGAATTGAGTAAAAAAGAAGTGTGGGGTAATCTCTCAGTTTCACCTGAAAGTTGCAACATCTCGTTCCCCCTCATCTCAGAAGTGATCGGTGATCAGAGTAGTAAGATAGAGAGAGAGCAAGTATAATTCAGATTAAAGAGAGAAGGGAATGGGAAATTCAATGATAGAAGTGACTGAAATTGTGCGGGATGGAGAGGGAGTATGTTGTCTCATCCACCTCCAGGGCTCAGTGAACCAAATGACAGAGCATATCCCGTCTCAGAAGTGACTGGACCAATGACAAGACAATCCATGACATGACAGAAGTGGCATAGAAAAGCCACTCATCTTTGCCTGAGAAACGTACAAGTCAAGAGGCAGAGGAGGTGTTGTACCTCAGTCACAACGGGAGCAAGGACATGGTGACATGGGGACATGAGACTGGGGACATAAGATTGGGGATAGGGACATGGGATAGGGACAGGGGCAATCTTTGTTTACACATAGGAGACGTGGTATTCATATCACAGATGTGACTGGATACAAGGAGACGGTGCTGGGGTAGATGGAGGATCATCACTTACTCTTCTTGTTGAGAAGACGCTTCGAGACACGACGCACGGTGTTCCGAAGGGTATCCATTTTTAACGGTGAGGTAACGAAATGGATTGAACGTGGGGAAGAAAAGAAGAAGAGAAGAGAGAAGAAGAGGAAGAAGAGAAATGGGAGGGAATAAATATTCTGCCAGAATTGGGGACCTTCCCTTTTGGGTCAAGGGTATTGTTCTTTTCATACAGAGCAAACAGGAACAATAGAATAAGCACGAGTCCAGGTGACATTGTCTTGCTCGATACCACGTGCTACCAGGGTGCCTCCTTTGAGGATGCCTACCGAGAACAATAGCTCTTATATTGACTTATTGACCTATTGACCTATTGAGAATACGAGCCTACTTGTGTATACGACTTCAATGGATATTCAGACCTAGCTTAGTTGAACCTAATCTGGTTGCGTAGACAATCCCTCAGGCACCCATGCAAGTAGACAGTTCTATTGACCTTAGGAGATGGATATTAATTGAGCATTGTATGCTTCCAAGGTTGCCTTACGGGAAAATGGTCATAGAGTAGGATATATTCTCTAGATATGTCAAAAGTCATGGTTCTATCGTGTCTGTGGAATCGATAGTCAATAGGAGCGAGAGGTTGATCGCGATTATATTGCTCCATCAAGACTCTACATCGACCAGCAAGTTGAGACAGACCGGTTCTTTGTTATTGCCAACCAGTAGTCAAACAACACCTACATAGGTGGCCTAGGATGGTGTTCGGACATTCAAGTTGCTTACTCTTGAAGAAAGCCACGGAGGATACGTCTACGATAATTGAACATCGCCCTCGTATCAAGTCATCGACGATGAGCTGCATATGTATCTAGTTTTGATATTTTCCCCAAGCAACAAGCTGCCTTGAACAAAACTACCGATGAGATTCGACATGGATTATAATATACGCAGGTGAAAAGAGCACTACCATGGCTACTCAATAGAAGTGAAAGTTTTCATATAAGTTTACGATACACACGAGTACAGACTGGCAACGTCTTGATTCGGTCCATGGAGTCTGCTCAAATTGCTACATATAAGATAGACAGACCTCCAAGGAAAAGCACAAGAGGAAGATCTCCCAGCGCCAAGCTCATCGATATGTATACCGAGATTCCCAGTAATGGGTTGGCATTGCCAGCCCTGTCGCATGTCATGGGAAAAATCAAGTGTCTCTTTTGTTTTTGGATAGATTTCGTATGACCTGCAGCGAGGCTAGTCATTGGATATCGGTTTTGCATTCAGATTGGACAATATGTCCTACACATATCAAAGTGTATTGCATGAAAATGATGACCAGGGTAAGATTGTTAAGAGCTTTGACTCATATTTACTCTTCACCGGCGGTGGTCTTGGTGGCCTTCTTCTTGCTCTTGTTCTTCTTGTTGCCGGTAGAGCGGGCAAGGGGCTGCTCGAGGATCTCGAGAATCTCCGCATCCTCGATCTTCTTGTCAGACTTGATCTGCTCAACATCGACAGGCTTGGGAGCAGCGAGCTTAGTGAGGCCGTTCTTGGTGATGGCTGTGAGTAGGGTTAGCTTGTGGGTCTAGATCATCTCCACGCAAATTCAATTGTACTTACCAACGGTGGTCAGCAGACGGGAGACGGGGGAACCGTCAGTCTCGCCGGCGGGCTCGTACTGGCGCAGGACACCGCCACGAACACACTCAACAACACCGACCTTGGCGGCCTTCTCGTCATCAAGCTGGCGCAAGCTGAAGGGGAAAGTGCCGAACTTCTTGACAACCTCAGACAGAGTCTGGCGGGAGCTGGGGCGCTTCAGGCCGTAAGTGGTGGTGGTACGGCGGTGCAAGGTAGCACGGTGGTCGAGGTTCTTGACCTTGCCGGATCCCAGACTGAGGCCAACCTCAACACCCCAAACTTCGCCGACCTCGGGGACACCGTCACCGCGGACACCATTGCCGGGGGAGAGAATGATCTTCTTCTCGCCCTCGATCTCGTTACGGCCGAACATCCAGCTGGTGGTGTTCTCGACGACAGTGCAGTCGTAGGCCTTGGCGATCTTCTCGAGCAGAGAAGACATGTGGGCCTGAGTAGGGGCCTTCTTAGCGGCGGCCTTCTTCTTCTCCTCATCAGTACCCTGAGCCAAGAGACCCTGGGGAACCATAAGACGCAGGAGAACCTCGTTGGCGTAGTGGGTAGCGAGAATGAGATCAGCCTCACGGCCGGTGACAACCTCCTTGGGGCCATCCTTCTTGGGAACAACGACCATATCGCAAACGATGGTTCCGAATCCATCGATTTGAGCACCAAGCTGGACCTTGGCGACCTCGCCGGCCTTCAGAACAATCTCGGCCTCGGCGGCGTCGGACAGCAGAGGAGTGTAGGGAGTCACATAGGAGCTAGGGGAGACAGTCGTGGGGTGAGAGATACCTTAATTTACATGCTACGATCAGTTCATGTGGTTCTTCCACTAATGGGAAGGAGGTGGACCAACCCTTGACAATCTTCTTGCCCTTGAAGACCTTGGCAATCTCCTCCTCGAGGAGCTTGTCACCCTTCTGACAGATCTCGACGATCTTCTCTCCCTCCACGCAAAGAGCTATTACAGGTTAGATCACATAGTAAGACAGCGATGAATGCTTGCGCAACATACCGAGAACAGCGTCAAGGACGTTGTGGGAAATTTGGGCAGCAGTCTTGTACTTGGTCAAGGTATCGGGGTTGTTGAGGGTGTAATCTATAAGTAATCATATAATTAGCCGTGGTCAATAAATCGGACATGTTTTCTTTGTTATGGTGAGCGCCAGCGAGCTCATAAGCCCATATTGGGCTCAGTGCCCACAAACGTCAGAGCTTTCCATGGAGTTTACATACCAACCTCGGGTGCTTTGACTTCCGCCATTGTGAAGTGAATTGAGCTCGTGGAGCTGTAATTAACAAATAAATGCAAGTGGTTTCAAAAAATGTGTTCGGATTGTAAATCCGTGTGAAGCTAGAGAAGAGGAATGGACCGAGATCGAGTCGTGTGCAGAGAGCGTCGAGAAGGCGTTTAGCGTTGGTGGGGTTGGGTTGGTTGCCTGATATTTCAGGCTCTCTACCTAGGGCTTTGCCGAAGACGTCATGGGAATTTCTAGTTTGACTTCATACTGAGCTACGCCATTGATTTCGAATTAAGGAAACATGATATTGTCTATATAGCTAGATTTACTGCTTTTTTTTACTATATGGATCATGAATATCTACTTTGATACCCCGGATTCCTTATGATCGCTCAGACCTCCTACTCCAATCCGTAACTTCTCCTCACCTGACTAGTATTTCCCCTCTTATGCATGAGAAGAACCTCAATGTAACTCCTTACTATGGTGTTGTAACTAGACGGGTGATCAAATTGGCAACTGTAAACCTACGAAAAGCACAATTCTTATATATACATAGTGAATTTCCTATTTGTATATAGTTAGGAATACCCTGTAAGCCACCTACCTACATCGATATTACTGTTACTATGTACATAACCTCCCAAGGCTATGACTGAAAGTGGGCCTTCTCACTATAGCATGTCACAGGTATAGTAGCCTAAGGCATTGCAACGTTCCCCTCACTAGTAAAACCCACGACATAGCTACAGATTCGTGGATGTACTACACCACTGTTGGTAGTTTGACCTTCTAGTTTCCTGTATTTCACACTATGCGTTCTGCAAAACTTCCCATTCGGGTTTTGACACACAATATCCGATATGCAACCTCGTCCCCCTTCAAAGGCGAACGACCCTGGGATGAACGCAAACAATTGCTGTTGAATGAATTTGAATATGAGACTCGTCATTGTGGGGAGACTTTCGTCTGTCTACAAGAAGTTCTTCACAATCAACTTGGTGATATCCTGGCTGGATTGAATCAGGACACAGAGCCCGAAGCACCAGAATGGAAGTATATCGGTGTCGGCAGAGATGATGGCCACGAGGCTGGGGAATACTCTCCTATCATCTACAGACCATCAGTCTGGGAGTTGCTACACTGGGAGACGGTGTGGCTATCCAAGACACCCGAAACGCCGTCCAAGAGTTGGGATGCAGCCTCCATCCGCATTGTCACCATTGGTGTCTTCACTCATCGAGTTACTCGGAATACGGTCCTTGCCATGAACACCCATCTTGATGATCAAGGATCTCAATCTCGTTTTGAGGCTGCGCGTATCATTCTTGGAAAGATTTCTGAGTACAGCCAGAACAAATACGCAAAGCTCATTTCGGGCATTTTCTTGACTGGCGATTTCAACAGCGAAGAGAACCAGGAAGCTTACCAAGAGTTGACAAAAAGCTTGCTTGATGCATATAAGGAAATTGAGAGTTCGAGACGATATGGTAATCACATTACCTGGACTGGATTTGGGTACGAGGATGACCCAGCCTCGCGTATTGACTATGTTTTGGTGGTACCCGGGACTCTGACAGTCATTGGATATGCAGTACTAGGGAATCGGTTCGACGATGGTGTTTTGTGCTCAGATCATCGGGCTGTTATTGTGGATTTGAGTCTCTAAGGTCAATAGATACATAGTACATATATTCTTTAGATGGACCTTCCTAAATTGGGACCTCGGAAGCCTGAACATTATGTAACACACACGTGGATCACATGACAGTATGTAAAATTGGTAAACTGGGTCATAGGTTGGCCTGGAGCCCATAGATGAGTATTAGGAATAACCTCAAAATATCTTAAAAGTAGTATTTATACCTTAATCTATAATTCCTTTGTGGTTGTTGGATATAGAGAGAGTGGACGCGTTTCTTTGCTTGATCTTAAAACGGGTACGGACACTTGTAACGGGTACTCTCCTTCCTTCTCCTTTGCCTCTTTCACCATCACGGCTTTAAAAATACAGACCAACTACCACAACTCCCCCCCAGATTAAAAGAATCTTCCGGGGAAGAAATCGCGTCGATTGGGATCATCATAATCCATTGAAGGTCAGCTGACTTGGCCCCAACATCCGGAGCGGATTCTGCGCTGGAACTCCCGACTGGTCCATTCACGAAACATCGGCGAGAGCTCTCTCCCCCCTTCGGCCCTGGTATGTTCAAATTCCTTCCCATTTGGTTTTCCTGTCCATAATTTCTGTATTCTATCCCCATTCAATCCGTCGCACACCTTTAACTAGTGGCTTGTGGCGTGTTCGGGACATGCGCCCGTTGCGACATATTCATCAAGGTCATCCCCCCAGGTGACATTGGATGCACGGTCGCGACGGTGATGGATGGGAGTTGACCATCTTAAAAACACGTACTAATTATAATTTGATCGCATGAACAGTTTCTATCTCATAACATAATGCTACGGTAACCGACCCGAACCTATCCCTGTCGCGTTGAGAGCCACTCCGAGCTTCGAAGATCATACGAGTGGCATCAGACGTTCGTTTCGCATTCAATAGACCATCCACAATGCCATCCCCTGAAGTGACGGGTGGCTCGCTGCCCTCAGAGCAATCATTCGGGGACCCTCAGTCGGGCGCCCAGACTAGCTCTGGCGCGTCGGACACGGGGGAGCAAGGTCCAGACAGCATCGACCTTGGGACAAGCCGATCAACAAATGGCCATACGCCAGATTCAATTGCAGAAGGAAAGCAAAACGCAAAGGCTATGCTAGCTGCTTCCGGGGTGTCATCCTCGTCGGAACCCGGTAGTGAGGTTTCCAATGGCACGCCCCGTTCAAACGGGACGCATGGTTCCGCAAGAAAGAGGTCTCATGATGGATCTGCTGCCCAATCCACAGAGGTCTCCGGGACCATGGCCGTACGCGCCCGCGAACCGCCATTGGATAAGATTCTCCTAGCACAGTACGTTGAGCGCGAATTCCAGCACTCGGCCGCAGCTGCCTGGCACAATCCGACCCAGGAATTACAAAAGAGTAAGCGAGCGGAGCGCGACTTCTATTTGGGAGTACGGCGCGAAAATCAGTTAAACCCAGCTGCACTGTATGGTGTGGGTTATGAGGGATTTGGAAACCCTCGTACCGACCTTCGCAACCAGCACCCTCAACTTCTCTACCCAACTCATCGACGCCGGCCCGGAAATAGAAAGACTCGAGAACTCCGCATTTCACGACGTGACGCAAAGACGCAGAGCGAACAGATGGAGGATCTAGTCCCTATTCGCTTGGACATTGATTGGGAAAAAGTAAAGATCCGCGATACTTTCACGTGGAACCTTCATGATCGTGTGATATCTCCAGACTTGTTCGCGGAGAAGCTGGTCGAAGACATGGGTCTGGCGGTAGAGAGCTCCGTCCCTTTGACGAGAATGATCTCCCAGAGCATCCAGGAGCAGGTAATAGACTATTACCCGCATCTTAACATACACGAAGACCCTCTTGATCCCCACCTACCCTACACCGCGTACAAAAATGATGAGATGCGCATTTCGGTCAAGCTCAACATCACCATTGGTCAACACACCCTCATCGACCAGTTCGAGTGGGATATCAATGATCCCAATAATTCCCCCGAAGAATTCGCATTATGCATGACGGATGATTTATCCCTCTCTGGTGAATTCACTACCGCCATCGCCCATTCAATCCGCGAACAATCCCAACTCTTTACCAAATCCTTGTACATTGTCGCTCACCCATTCGATGGCCGTCCAATCGAAGACCCAGACCTCCACGCCTCATTCCTCCCCACCCCCGTCGCTTCGGCCTTCCGACCATACCAATCTGCGAAAGAGCATACCCCCTATCTTTATGAGTTGAACGAGGCAGATCTTGAACGTACCGAAATTTCAATATCTCGAGAGCAACGTCGCCAGAAACGGTCAATCAACCGTCGCGGTGGCCCTGCTTTGCCAGATCTCAAGGACCGTCAACGCACGATTCGTACCATGATTGTTTCATCCGTGATACCCAACTCAGTGGGCTCCTTGGATGAAAGCAATGTGATCAAGCGTACCGGTTCCGGCCGTCGTCGTGGAATGACTCACCGGGGAGATGATGATTCAGATGAGTTCGATAGCGACGACTCCTCTGTTGGCTCTCCTGCGATTGGGCCCAACCTCGCGCAGGGCACTGCTCGTACTCGAGGCATGAGAGGCGCGGCATCTGCAGCCCACGCGGCGCTTCGCGCTAGCCTTGGGCAATCTGCAACCCCCGAACCAGTGTACCATGAGCCCCGAATCTCTGCCCGAAGACAGCAATACCGAGAAGAGAGTGTTGATGACTCTGATAAGTTGATAGTGAGATTTAAGATTTCGCGTGACAAGCTAGTCGATCTGAGGAACGGAAGGCGCATTGTCTCCGCTCAATCCAGCGCAGGACAAGCATCACGCGCGATGGCACCTCCGTCCGATAAACAATCCCGACTTCATCCTCCGGCGCGGCCCCAACAAACCGGTGCTGTTGATGCACCGAACCCTCCGCAGCCTGGTGTCTCTGGCGTGAGTAGATTTTAACCCTAGTTTATTGGCCCATGGCTGACCCTGTGTCTATGCAGCCCCCACCACCCAACTGGCTGGCAGCCGGTCTCAGCAAGTTGAAACAATCCCACCCCAACGATTCCTTTGAAGGTGTGATGCGTTATTCCGCTGTCGATACTGAAACCCTGGCTCCCGTGGCGAATCCCAACAACCTTCAGGCTGGCCAAAATATCAAATACCAATATCTCCCGCGTATTCGATGCCACGATTGCCCCGGAAAGCTGTACACACCCGGCCCGGGCATGACAGTGGACAACTTTGAGGTCCATCTCCGCAACCGGCAGCACAAGGAGCGTGTCGAAGAGCGGCTCAGCAAAGCTGGCGGTGTTACCGATGGCGGAAGTGCCAGTCCGGCTGGGGCTAGAATGCCTGCGAGCGCAAGTCCAGCTCTTGGCAATGCCGTCCCTGGAGCCTCTCCCTCTTCAGCCGGTGGATCTCAGCCATAGTCAATTTCGTTCATGAAGTGATGACAACGGCGTCTTGTGTGATTACTTCCACTTCTCTTCCAGATCGCTTATATTCTTTTACACATTTGATCAATCCATCTACTTCTTCTCCATACGAAGTTTCTTCTCACATTTCACTCGTGCCCGTCTTGCATAGGTTTTGGTTTCTCAGTGCCGGGGTGAAGCGATCTTTATCCTGTTGGCGCTCAATGTTTCTCCGGGGTGTTTTATGTGTTTTTTTTCCTTGCTTCGCTGGACCTTGTGTAATAGCAGTTTGAGAGACGGTTTGAGCTTTAGTAAATATTTCAACTTTTATTTTATCGAAATGACCAAGTAGGATATCAAAACCTGTATACGCCTAGCTGCTAAGGGCTGTTGAGACCAGACGAACACCACCCTCATTCTGAGATTATGCGGATTTCATGAATATGGTAGTATCTCACGCTACGATGTAAGTAATTTTGAAAAGTTCAATTCATTTACAATAGAAAGCATATATCGGGAATACGCAAAGAGACATTCGTGAGAACACGGGCACAAGATGCGAAGAGAAAAAAAGGCAGATGGGGTATACATCTCGGACCATCTCACTGCAAAACAGAATGGGGACGAAATTGAACCGTAAATGAAAATAACATGGGAATCAAGATATGAATATGAATATGAATATCGACTGGAACGATCCGTAGTATTCGCACAATGGATCTGAGAACAGAGATACCAGGAATTTATGTCCTTGGCTGGAAACTCATAAATGGCCATTGAAGGGACGTAGCTCGGATGAAATCAGAGGTATGGCCTGTGAAAACACAGCCATATGTGCCATGCAGAGAGCTTATCCACGACGGGAAGAGCGTCGAGAAGGCACGCTGGTTGTCGACGGCTTCTTCACCTCAGACTTCTTTGCAGCGGGCTTTCCACGTTTCTTTGGAGGTGGCGTGGGTTCCTTCTCGCTGACCTCGGGCTCATCAAGCTCAGAGAGTTCTTGATCGTCATCCGTTTCTTGAATTGCTTCTTTCTCGCTTTCTACTTCATCGTCGTTCTCCTTTTCTTTGGTGTTTTCCCACTCTGCCATTTCCATATCAGCATCGTCGCTATCATTGTCGATATAGCTGATTTCCGCTTTCGCAGTGCCTCGGACGCTACGGCGACGAGAGGAAGCGGGCGTGGCGTCTCCAGCGCCTCCATCGGAAGACCAGCCGTCGTCGTTCTTTGATTTACGCTTCGGCTTGGCACTGATCGATGATGTGGACTTGCGAGCTGGACGGGAAGACTTCTCCTTGCGTGCCTTTTTGGGCACAGAGGATTTACCGTTCGCATCTAGAGACTCGGGCTTTCGCTTTTTGCTTGATCCGCCCTGTGAACCGTGGGCAGAGTTACTCTTAGGCTTCATTGCCGTTCGAACGACGCGGTCCAGCAAATCATCCAACTCATCTGGAAGGAAGTTCTTGTCGGCGACGTCTTGGGCTTCGCGGTGACTGCTCATGGATGTGAAGAGGGAGCTGGGGACGCCCATCTTTCCAGGGTAGGTTTGCAAGATGTTCGTTGCACCAGCGGCGCCGCCAAACTTGTGCTGTTGGGAGTAGATATCTGCGAACCGGCGAATAGTTGCTTGCGCTAGG